AAAGGGGCAAGTATTACGGTTTAGATCTAAAATGCCCTCTGCCCCATAGTCTCAGGTGTTTGGAATATGATTTAGGCACTTATAGTCATCAGTGAATTCATTCATCCATGAATGTGGTATTAGGAGGACAGGCCTAGTATAGAGGTGGGTCACAGGGGAAGTGACTATCTCCTTCCCCTGCTCCTCTCCTCTCTCTTTTCTTAGTTTTCATGAGATGAGCACCTGTTCTCCACCCAGACTCTTTCACCATGCTATTTCTGCTTTGGAGCCTGCCAACCATGGATTACAACTTCTGAAATTGCGAATCAACGTGAGCCCCTCCTCCTTTAAATTGTAGGTGTTGGGTATTTTGTTCCAGCAAGGAGAAAGTGACTAAGATAGATCTTGTTACCAGAGAAGTAGAGTTATTGCAGTGACTATTTCACCACATGGCTTCAAAGCTTTAGAAACTGGTTTGTGGGAAGAGTTTGGAAAAGTTTTGAGAAGCCAGCTAGAGAAGCCTTACAAAGCTATACACAGAGTAAGCAAAGATTGATGGGAGATTCTGGTCAGAGCTCAGAAAGCCACAATGCTAAAAGGAAAGAAGACAGTAAAGGCCAGGCTCAGGAGGTTTCTGTTGGGCTTGACAACTCCATTGACATTTGGACTGCAGGCCATGTGTGTTACACCCTGGCAAAAAATTTGCTTTCATTTTGCTGATTGATGTCTTCAGATTTTGCTGGAGGCTGAGATTTAAGGTGATGGACTAATTATTCTGGTGGGTAAAATTTTAATGCAGCTTAGCATCACTCTGTGGCATGGGTACTGCTAGCGGCTCTTACAGTGAAAATCAGGAGCCAAAAGCAGATGTGAAAAGTTTGCAATTTCATCAGAAAGGAAGCACCTACAAGGTTGGGGCCATGGAGAATAGAGTTTCAAAACTATTAGCATTAAAAAGAAGCCAAGTGCTTTTTCATCAAGACCATGAGAAAGATGGCTTGAAGGCATTTCAGGATTCAGCAAGACCCAACAAACACAATCTCAAATGTGTAAAAGTGTAAACCTTTACTTTGAGAAGAGAGCCCCAGGAAGCCCAGCTGAGTCAGGGCTGCCTAGGAGGTGTTTCCTGGAATTCAGCCATCCAGACATGCAGAAACCACTGTATAGTACAAGGGGGCCCAGCTTTGAGCTGGTGGCTGACTTTGGCATTATCCATGTGGTGCTAGTTTTACAGATGTGCAGGATAAAGAGTTCTGGGCTCAAAGATGCCTCCATATAGATTTAAGAAGGCCTGGGAGGCCAGCCAACATGTACCTAAGAGAGCAGTATATAAGGCTGTCAGAGGGAGGGTGTGTAGGAAACATTCCTGCCCAGTACTAACAGGCTGATTGGCATGTGCTTCTTGCCTTCCCTAATTCGGCAATTGTTTTATTTCAGGAGTCAGACCGAAGCCCTGTGTGACTCAAACAGACAGGTCAGTTAGCAGAGTTGGGCTAGTATTGCTACATGTTGGGCTTCCAGGATTTGCCCTATTGGATTTTGGTTTTGCTTTGGCCTGATTCCCTTCTATACCCCTATATTTCCTTTTTGAAGAGGGATTGTTTACCCCATGCCATTGTATGTTGGAATTGCATTTTACTTTCTTTTTTACTTTTACAGATGCTCAAAGCTAAGAGTGTGCCTTGAGTCTGAGAAGACTTTGGATTTGGACTTTTCAGCAATGCTGAAACTATTATGACTTAGGTGACTCTTAGAGATGAACTAAATGCATTAGGCATATCGAGATGGACACAAGTCTTGGGGTAAGGGCAGAATATTATAGTTTAGATCTGAAATGCTCTCTCCAAATTATGTGTTTGGAAGGTGGTTGCATCAATGGGATTGCTACACTTATCAGTGGATTCATCTATTGGATTCAGCAACTGAAATGTACTGTTCGGGAACGGGGTGCTGGTTGAAGGTAGGTCATTGGGGACATGACCTGGAAGGTTATATCTCCTTCCCCAGCTCCTCCCTTCTTTCTCCGCTTCCTGGCTGCCATGGGTACAATAACTTTTGCTATCATATCCTTGCACGTTTCCATTAAGAAGCCTTGGAACCAGGGGACCATGGATGGAAATCATGAGCCAGGCTTCTCTTCTAATCTGTAGGTATTGGGTATTTTGTTCCAGCAGCAAGACAGTGATTAAGACAGAAAGGAAGGATTCTCTCCTGTATCCCTCAAAGGGAGCGCAATCCTGTAAAAGTCTTGATTTCATGCTTTTGGCTTCCAGAACTGTGAGATTAACTTTCCTTGTTTTGAGACACAGATGTGGTAATTTGTTTTGCCACAGTTTGTGGCATTCCTAGGAAGGGACTAGGGTGGAGGCAGAAGATCTTCTGCTGTGGTCTAGGTGAAGAAAGTGGGACCATAAGGCCAAAATTAGAGATGGTATATTCCAGGTAGAGGCAATTAGAGGAACAAAACACACAAATGAGTAAGGGGTCATCTTCTGTAAAGCAGGGGGCAGTGGAGATCAAGAAGACTTTACTTTCAGCAAGTCCTTCCTCTTCTCAGGGCCTCAGTTTCTAGGAGGATATCTGACCAATACGATCTTCAGGTTCTAGGACTCTTGAGATGCTGTGGAGACCTTATTCGTACCTTTGGCCGCCAAAACCTACTGTACAGAACAAGGCCTATAGAATACATCCATCCCTTCATGTAGTCAGCAAATAGTTTGAGTCTATTACTGTAGTGGATGCCGAGAATATGGTGACGAGCACAGGCATACATAGTTTCTGTCCTTCTGGGGCTCCAAGGCCAACGAGGGAAGACAGTATTCACTTATTTAACTACCAACCATTGCAAGGGTTACAAAGCACACAGGGCTCTGAAAGCCTGTTATGGAAAGTTCTGGCCTAGTCAGGGAAGTGAGAGTCTTACTGTTTGAGAGAATCTGAAAGATTCTGAAGGCTTTAATAAGGGAGGACGAGATTTTTCTAGAGAGGAATGGTCAGAGGGACTAGAGGGATTGCTGACCAATGAGAAGAGTGGTTCAGAAGGATGCCAGGAAGAAGCCCGGGCAGGGGTAGCAAGAAGCCAAAGGATGAAGGTGCAGTGTGGTGGTGCATGCCATCCCAGCACTTTGGGAGGCTGAGCAGTGAGGGCCACAAGTTCAAGGCCAGCAGGGGCAACTTAGCAACTCTGTGATAAAGGAAAAAAAAAAAAAAAAAAAAAAAAAAAAAAAAAGGATGGAGGTGATCTGGAGAGACCCAAGTGTTTCAAGGAGGGACCAACGGGTCACTGCTGGGTGTCACTGCTGCGTCGGGCCTTGGCAGAAGACTGAAGAATGGTTGTTGGAGTTTAGACATTTAGAGATCATTGAGAATTTACTAAGATAGGGTTTTGTGTTGTTAAGGCGCTAGAAGGCTAACTGCAAGGTATGAGGAACAGGGAGGGAGGTAAGGCTGAGGAGACAGCTCTTTCTTGCCTTGTGGCTGAAGAGTTGGTGAGGTCAGATGAGTGTTTTAGTTCCACAGCCAAGACTTCAACGTGTTTGTAGGCCAAAGGGAAGATCTAGTTGAGAGGAAGAAATTGAACATTCAGGAGAGAGAAGGCATGATCCACAGGGCAAGATCCTAAAAAGGGCCAGGGAATGGGAAGTTTTGGGGAGGCTGAGGGAAGGTTTCGGTGGCATAACACGAGGTAGCAGATGAACGAAAGTCTGTTTGCTTTTGGCTGAGCAACCCGTGGCCGACGGACAACAGACAGAACAGGCGTGTCTGTTTCTCACGGGTGCTGTGTCTCTGCTCCGCGCTCTTTCCCCGGGCCTGGGCTGCCCGCCTTGCCGGTGTGCTACAAGGAACATCCACACTGGGCCCAGTGGAGTCTGGGCAGGTCCAGTTCTGGGCTCCCTGATGAGATTCTCAGGCTGCGCATCCCCTCGGTCACGAGAAGGCAGGTTCTCAGAGCAGGAGTGGGAACCGCTGGGCTTCAGTCCTTTTGGCCCGTGAGCGAGGAGAGTCGGGGACACCTCGGGTCGGCCCCACCGCGCTCCAAGCCGTGGCGTTCCCTCGCGCTCCCCGCGTTGGTGCCTTCCGCGCTCACGGTCCAGGTCTGTGCCCCCCGCCCCAGACTCGATCTCTAGGGCAGGCGCCCCAGGTCCCGTCCTCAAAGCCTTCTCCAGTGGACTGTGCCCTCCTCCCAGACACCCAATCCGTCCAGCCGCTGGGACCCCCGGCTCCGGTAACCTGGCGGTGGAAGCGGGGCGCCGAAGGGGCTCTGTACCCGGCAGCCCCGCAGG